TAAATAGGCTTCTGTGCCTTCTTCTTTTTATCTTTCATCTCCTGAGAAGGGCTTCGGTGACGTTTGGAAGCGGGAGGTGGCATGTCCGCTTTTTTAGTGGGGAATGACTTGGCGTATGTTGAGGAGTGTCGGACGGTTTTAGTTTAACAGGGGAAGGAGTGGGTGTGTTGAGGGGAGTATAAAAAGATCGGTGTTTGTAAGGGCTGGGATCTCTACTGCGGGGAAGCGATTTGGAAGGAGATATCTGGGGCGAAGGTCGTTTCTTAGGAGAGGGTATGGACCGTGTAGAGGACGTGGAAGGAGAAGGTTCTGAAGATTGAGAGACGCGCTGACTATCTAGCTTCTTTTTGAGCTCCTTAATTTTTTCCGTCTTTTCAAATCCGGGATCGAATTTCTTTTGTTTGTCTTGGAAAGACATTTGAGAGGCCGGGGCATCGCCCTTAACGTTGCCAGTGGGAGTGGGGCTGTTAGTGCGTTTCGTCCCTGGGGCTTCAGGGGACTGAGGACCCGCTGCCCGGCGCTTCCCTCTGGCCTTACCAGCAACTAGCCATTCCCCCTCCCCCTTCTCCGCACCTGCACTAGCAGAGGGCGAAGGCTCTTTGGAGAATGTGGTCTTTTGACCAACCGGAGGAGTTTCCCTACCGGTCCCAGAAGCTGGCATGCCCATTACAGGCGAGGCGGTAGGTAAAGACTCGGTCAGAGGGGGATTCTGGTCAACGGGAGATTGAACTCCAGAGGCCTTCTTCTCTGGGCAGGAAGAGGAAAGGTGACCAGTCTTTCCGCACTTCCAGCATACCGGTTTCCGGCCGGTCACAATGACCGGCAATTTCAATTTCCCTACTACCAGGCAGTTGGGGATGGAGAGGAAGGCTTTTTTTCATCTAAACGGATATCAAAACTCCACCCCCTGCTCAGGCTATCGCAAGATGCGGCTAGTATTTCTCCGAACTGGGATAGGGTAGGCCGCGAGATGTTCCCCGAGAACCTGAGGAGGGACCTCATATATTGAAACCCTGGTCCTTCTTCGGCCAAGGTACTCTGTCCGCAGAATTAGATCTTTGGTAATCAAGTCCTTGCTCGAAGCTATCTCGCAATCTTCCGGTGTGGGTAACAATACGTCCCACATGACAAAGCGTGCCCCTTTCACAACTCTGAGGGGCTTGAACCCCAGGGACTCCAGTGATTTTATCACTGTGTCTTTCGTCGAGAGACAAATTTTGCGTGTTCGCTTGTCCACGACGAAGACTGACACTATTCTTTTTCAATTTTACTTAGTTCCTGGGTGTCTTCCAAGAGTCCACCTTCTACGACAAGGTGTGCGTAACTCTTAGCTCGCTCCAAGAATTCCGCAACATTGATAATACAACTTGGGGGACTTCCAACACGAGGGCAATTCCCCGGCCTCTGAATTATTCATTTTGGGTCAGATTTTGAGGCACTATTGGCCTCTATACAATTTTCATGCAGTGGTGAACATGACCTCCATGAAAGTGGTGAACATGGCCTCCATGAAAGAAAAAAATAAAAAGGACAAACGAAGTACTGAGGAAGAAATTACTAAAAATTTATATATATATATATATATATATATATATATATTTTTGTGTTTGGTGCATTTAAACCAGTCAGTGTAAACCAACTGCAGAAATAGATTTAAATTCATAGCCGGAAAATTCAAATGCAAGTTTTTTCTTTGAAATTTTATATATATATATATATATATATATATATATATATATATATATATATATTTAAACTACTTCCATACGGACTATTTTCTTCGTCTTTTTTGATACACTATTTTTGCAATAACAACTAATATATGTATATATATATATGTGTGTGTGTGCTTGTGTGCGCGCTCCTATGAGTGTATAGGTGCATGTATGTGTGTATGTATATCATTATGGATGGATGCGTCTTAGTCAGTACGAGGGGATACTGAAAATTTCTCCGCTCGAACAAGAAGGGATTTTAATAGATTAATGAGGAACGAGGGCTTAGAAAATGTGATACTCACAGGACATGATGAAGAAGGCCAGAGAAGAGTCTGTAATTTCTTCGCTTTTATAAGCGTGCGTGGTTGCGCGTGTGTACATATACGCATATACACGCACATATTTCCGCATAAATATTGTTTAAAATTTAAGATAGATAGATAGATGTGTGAGTGTGTGAGTGTTTGTGTGTGTGTGAAACAGACAGAGACGGAGACAGAGAGAGGATGTGGACGTAGGCATTCACACTGTATCGTCTGAAGATCACCTAAGACGTTAAACTGCAGTCTTAATATATATATGTCTACACTTTATATATATCTACAAACGATTTATCTCCGATATTGAGTACTCTTCCCATGAATATATCAAATTTTAAACAATATTTATGCGGAAATGCGTGCGTGTATATGTGTATATGTACACACGCGCAACCAGGCACGTTTATAAATGCAGAGAAATTACTGACTTTTAAAGATCAAAATTTTAGAGCCGTGTCTCCGTTTTTCATCATTGATATTTTTATATAGTGGAGTATAAACCAAAATAGTTTTAGCATTATTAATATTTCCTTTCAATGATAATGTGGAGAGTGTCTTGAGGTATATTTAGGTGTGATAGATCAGCTGATACCGACGAAACCTGCCGTTTTTTTTATGATAATTACTCTTTCAGTACCACTACTACTGCTACTACTGCTGCTGCTGCTACTACTACTACTACTACTACTACTAATAATAATAATAATAATCATAATAAAATTTGAATTTTATCAATGCAAAAAACGACATATTAAAAGGAAAGATGGAAATATAAAAGAAAAAAGAAAATAAAAAAAATCTCCGTCCACAATAAATAACAATACGAAAAGACAAATAATTTATAGAACCAATTGACCGATGTTCTTTCCTCTCTCATTAGAAACCGATAAAGGAAAATATGTGTAGTATCGTATGCAAATTAGACAGACGAGTATGAAGAAGAAAATGAGGAGAGACCGGGATCACCAATAAAAAGAAAACAAGAAAGACAAGAGTAAAGACAAAACAATACAAAAATATTCAAGTATAGTAAAAAAAAACTAAAAAAAAAAAAAAAAACACAAGGGTGTACGACCTCTCCGATTCAGGGAGGTGTAGTATCGTATGCAAACGCGATAGACAAATATAAATAGAGAACAACTGGCGAACATAGGATGGCTATGCCTAGCAAAACCGGTTGATATTCAGGACACGGGGAACTGTACTACGGCTACTCAGAGATAATCACATAAACATAAACAATGTTTAAGCGCAATGGTTCTTGAATTTTGTAACATTTCGTTGAAGGTAACGTTGTCAGCATTTTAAACCATTAGCGATTTTAACTAAGGAAGACCGATAAATGAATAAATGTGTAGTATCGTATGCAAATTAGACAGACGAGTATGAAGAAGAAAATGAGGAGAGAACGTGATCACCAATAAAGAGACAAGAGTAAAGACAAGCGTAATAACAACACAATGGGAAAATATTCAAATATAGTAAAAGAAAAAAAAACAACAAAAACAATTAATTCTTCTTAATTTCCTTGTTGTTTTCATACAAAGAACAGATATTTGAATTCTAACAGCTTGGTCACACCTTCGACCAAAAGCCAGCCTTACAAACCCATCTGCATAATCCAGATTTACGAGTTATTGACAGAAAAACGTAAGGCCAGCCAGAAACAGACAAAAGTCGACGCATTTTTTCATAAAAAATAAACTGAACAAAAACCTCGAACAAAACGCTTAAAAATATTATTTGATTATATAAATCAGTCATGGCTACACAGCGGTACGCGGGCCACATTCTGTCCGATTGCTTTTCGAAATGGTACGCCTTATTCCATGAGAGAAATAACGTTTATTAAAATGTTGTTTGTTTCCTTTCTTTCTCACTTGTTCACTCACACACTCTTTCATGCATAACCTCATAAACATAAATAATGATTAATTACAATGTGTCTTGACTTTTACAACTTTTCGTTGAATGTAACGTTGTCAGCATTTTAAATTATTGTCAATTTTAACTAAGGAAGACCATATGTGTAAACATCTTTTACTTCAGAAACAACAAACATTAATGACAATTCTTCTTCTTTTACAAATATTATTGTCTACTCAACTGAATAAATTAGAAACAAATCACATCCAGCTATGTGTGTTAATCACGCCGTCATCAGTGATAATATTAGACCATGTCTTCATTTTTTTTTTTTTTAATGTATAGAAGGAATATATTCTCCAAAGGAAATAAAATCAACATTTTTCCATTTCTAAGGCAGATGCTTGTTTGCATGGTCCTTTGCTGGGAAAATGGCTGCGGGAAAATTACCTTCGTTTATTTTTAATAGCGCGGCCCGCCTTATGATGGATGGTACCTCATGGGGTCCTCTGTTCGTAAAAGGTTGCCTAATATTAGCAATCAGAAAGATTGAAAAAATGGGAACAAGAACACTTGATTAGGATCAGAAAATGACAGTCGAAATTCCTGGGACAAATAATGAAGAAAGAAGGCTTCGAAAATTTGACACACACATATTAAAGGCAAGAAGGGAAACAACACAAATGAGCTTGAGTAATTGGTTGGTTGATTGATTGATTTGTTTATTTGCAGGTTTTATTTAAAGCCGGGAAATATTTTTAGATGGTAAGAGCATTCTGGAGATAATAATGATTTACTGATACAAATCCTATTAATTAACCCATAGTTGAGGGAGAAGAGGTGGATTCATACCTTTCCAAATGGAATTGGCGCGTAAGTGAATATTATATTCATTTACGTGCAAATACCCTTGAATTAGAATTCGGCCATTGTCAGTTACACCATCCGCACACCCAATCTTACAGCACCTAGTATTTTCAAGCTGACACTCATCTTGGTACTGACCAGGCTCAAAGTTGTTTAATTTCGGTGATTGTACAGGTATCGGTGTTTTAACCTGATATGACAGTAAAGTATACAACCTGCACATCCAAATTTACAGCACTTGGTATTCCCAAGCAGTCACCCATCTAGATACTGACGAGGCTCCGCGTTGCTTAACTTTGGTGATCGTACGAGAACTGGTGTTTCAATGTGATATGGCTGTAAGGCATATCACCCGCACTTCCAAACTTACAGCACCTAGTATTTTCAAACGGTCACTCATCTAGATACTGACGATGGCCGACGTTGCTTCACTTCCATGACCATACGGGAACCGGTGTTTCAACGTGATATGGCCGTAAGGCATACCTCCCGCACTTCCAAACTTATTGCAACTATTATTTTCAAACGGTCACCCATCTAGATACTGACGATGGCCGACGTTGCTTAACTTCGATGGTCGTACTGGATCCGGTGTTTCAACGTGATATGGCTTTAAAGCATATCATCTGCATATCCAAACTAACAACATCTAGTATTTTCAAGCGATCACCTATCTAGATACTGACCAGGTTCGATATTGCTTAACTTCGGTGATATGGTCGTAAGCCTTCTGTTAATGGATGTCAGAACTGGATCTGAGAGGAATGGTAAGGAGACATATTCCTTAAAGCTGTGAAAAATGGGAAGTTATGAAGAGCCATGTTCGCCCACGTCCTGAAGATGGATGATGACGGATAAAAGAAGAAAGCTGCTCTATCTTTTATTTCTTTTGCCCTAAAGATGTCATGAAAGACAAAGTCCAGATGAATTCCTGAAGGTGGCAGACTTAAGATCAACAAATGTTTAGTTACTATTTTTATGTTTCTCTTTCTAATCTTTATTTTTAATCTTTCCTTTTATTCCTTCCTTTTCTTTCTGTGTTCGACGAATTTCGTATCATTTCCAAGGAAACTTTCTTTTCTTACGTCATACTTGACCAGTGTTCACTCTGTGTCGCCGTATAACGTCAAAGTCTGTCTCGGACCATTTCAAGCCAGACACGCAATCTATTGACATTTCTATCTTTCTGGTCAAATGTCAAACTACTTTCATATATTCAGAGAAGGGAGATGAGGGAGAAATAAAGGAAAAGAGTGGGGGGGGGAAGAGAAGGAAAAAAGAGAAGGAGACATAGAGAGAGAAAGAGAGAGAGAGGAGACATCGAGGGAGAGAAATGAAAAAAAGAGATGATGAGGTGGAAGAGAGAGAAAGAAAGAGAAGGAGAAAAAGAGTTGAGAAATAGAGAAAGAGAGAAAGAGATAGAGAGCGGGGAACGGAAAGAGAAAAAGAGAGAAAAGGAGAAAGATATAGTATGAGAAAGAGATATAAAGAGAAGGAGAAAGATAGAGGAAGAGAAAAAAGAGAAACGTATAGAAAGATAGAAATAAAAAGCGAGAAAAGAGAGAGAAAGAAAGAAATGGAGAGAGAGTGAAAGATAGATAGATAGAGAGAGAGAGAGAGAGAGAGAGAGAGAGAGAGAGAGAGAACGAGAGGGAACACGCGAGATTTGCTGTCGGTTGAAGATATCATACGAAAGCGGCACTGACCAATTCGGACAGGTCAGATTCATTTGACCGAGGCAAAAAGTGTCTAAGCGACTGGTAGTTTATCCATCCGACTGGCCTCACCATCTTCTCTCAATTCAACCTCCCATAACTACTTCCTTCGTTGTGGAGGAAGGAACTATTAAAACTACTTGGAATAAAATTAATTCTATAAGGAATATGCACTCAATGAACTATGTTTTGATCTGATACAAACACACATGCGCGTGCGCATGCGCGTGTGAGTGTGCGTAGAAATCAGTTCAAGAAAAGTAAAGCTTCCGTCTCAGAAGCAAAATATACGCCAGAGGAAAGAATGGCGGGGAGTTCTCTGACCGAAATGTAGCAAAAGTTTTTGATAATAGTCTGCGTCATTCGCGCAGGAGACATAATCTACATCTGTTATGTGTTGTGCACTTCCACGACGTGGGCGATCACGGCTCTCCACAACCTTCCCGCATTAAGCAATGTTTGCCCCCTTACTGTCCTGTACCTTTCATGTTTTGCCATCCATTTAAACCTGTCGATAGTCAGCTTCCCTCTTGCCGTCAATGTCCTGTGAGTGCCAAATTCTCTACGCCTCCTTTCCTCATTATGTATTTCTCTGAAATGTAAGTAGCACTCTGAACTTTATTTCTTTCGAGGTGTGAGGCTGTGAAGCGTTTTTGTTCTGTCCTAATAACCCCAGGCATTGAGCACTTTTGGTTACTGTTTGGGTTAGGGTTAGTTTATTTTCACGTCGTGTGAAGCAGCGTTCCCCAAATTTTTACCCTTGTGTAACCCTTAAAATAAATTACATGTCTCGAGGAACAAAATTATATACCATATCTTTCTCATTTTATTTTCATCGTAGTTTACGTAGTAAATATCATAGGATATATTTTCGAATAACTGGTTTAAGAAAAAATGAATAATTCTTTGTCAAATCTTTCGGTAATGCTAAATAAAATTCATTCTGTTCGTTTATAATTCTTCATCAGGGAGTTTTCATTCACACGTAATAAATAAACATAAGTAATCAATATCATGTACTTATAATATAAATGTAAACAGATCGAAAACAGATAATCGTTACATCCGTTTTTTATTTTTTTATCTTTTACTGGCAATGTTGAATGACATAAGGTAAATCAAGGTAAAATGTCCTGTGGACCAATAAATTGGAATTTTTCTTCTTCAAAAATCGCCACATTGTGTTGATTAGGTATTTCTGAAAAAATAAAGAACAAACAAAGAAATAAGTAACTACAGGTACTTATAAGTAAGTACAGGTCCCATTCGCTAAGTGAGCCCTGACTAGCGAAGATGGTTTCACAATGGCGTGGTACAGACATCAATAAATATATTCCCAACGATTGTTTTATTTTTTAACAACATAATAGGTTAGATAGGATGATGTCTATATTACAATATTACAATAACCAAGAATATATTGGATGTGTTTAGTAATAATGATTATATGAAATTAAATAAAAAGTCAAAAGTTAATTAGCTTATCTCATCTGTTCTCGCTGGAGCCTTGGGGACATTTTGCGGGAGAGTAAAATTTAAGTAGCAATCCAAATTTAATCTCTTTTGAGGCGTAAGGCTGTGAAGCGTTTTGCTTCTATCCTAATAAAGAGGCATTGAACACTTTTAGATACTGTATTTGTCTGCTTTTTTTTTATTTGTTTATTTTTCCGTTCTTAGGTTTTCTTGTTTTTTGCTGTTAGTAATTTTTTTTTATTTGAATTGAGTTTTCTTTTGGTTATCTGGCAAGCTTTCGGATTATATATATATATATATATATATATATATATATATATATATATATATATATATATCTACAGGAATTCTTTTGCTAGTTTTTGTTTATTAGTGTTGTGGGGTAGCCTCGTTTTTTTAGTGTTTTATGTAGTTCTTGAAATGAAGATATTGTTAGGTGTCTCTAGGTTTTCTGATGTTTTTCGATGTTAAATATTCTCGATATTAGGCATTCTCTTTTTTGTGTGTGTTAGTCACCCAAATGTCTTCCTTGAACTGGCAGTAAAAAAGTTCTGCGTGATGGGGAATAAAACAATTAAGACTGGTCCGAGAAAGGGTGAGAAATATATATATTTATCTTTTAATGACCCTGTGTGTTCTTAGATCTATTTCCATTCTTTTTGTGTTTTTGTCAGTATGCGTAGGTATACGTATATTCCCTCTATATATACACACTGCCTTATTATAAGGAATTAGTATACACATATGTATACATATACAATACACACACACACACACACATATATACACATACATACAAACACACACACTTCCTATGTTATGTATGGTTCGCGTGTGTGCCCGTGAGCAGTTTTTTTTGCCAATATTTGCATATATATATATATATATATATATATATATATATATATATATATATATATATATATATATATATATATCTCAGTACGTATGTATATGCGCACCGATTCTTTATATATACATACTGTCTCATTATAAGGAATTAGTATTCAGACATGTACACACACATGCACACACACATATACATATATATATATACATACACACACAAACTTCCTATTTTGTGTAGGGTTTGTGCGAATGGTTTGACCTCTGTATTTAGCCATTATCTGTGGGTTTGCCTGTGGGGTTATGATCTATTTAGTTCTGGTTTAAATTTGTTTTTGAAGTTTTTTCTTGTATTTGTAGGTAATAATAATTATCTGTTTGGCATATGGACATAATTTTAAATTCACCCTGGTTGCATTTATGTATGTACTGTGATACAAAGAGTTTGCTGTTGTCTGGTAATTGTATGTTGCTTTTGTGTAGGGAGACCCTGTTGTTTAGTTGTTGGCTGATACCTATATATGACTTCTTGCACTTTGTGCATTTGAGTGCATAAATCACATTTTTGGAGTTGCAGTTTAAATTTTTATTTATTATGAATGTCGTTTTGTGGTTTTGTGTAGGAATTTCCTTCTATATTGATGTCACAAACCCCACATCTTTTTTGGTGCATTTTGTAACTCCCTGTATTGTGTATTGTTTAAATTTGGATGAGGTTAATATGTATTTCAGGTTTTTAGATTGGCATTTGTTTTTAATTATTTTGATTGTTTTTAGTATATTTTTCAATTTGTCATTGTTGCTAAGAAAGTCTAGATTTTTTTGTAATTTCTGTAAATAGTTCTAGATTGTTCTTGTATGTTGAGACATATACTAGAGTTTATTAGACGTTACGTTTCTTTGGATTTCGTAGTTGGTCTAAAGGAATTTTTTGCGAGTTCAAAACCTTTGTTTATTAGTGTTGTGGGGTAGCCTCGTTTTTTAGAGTTTTATGTAGTTCTTCTAGGCGGGTTTTTCGAAAGTGTTTGTCAGTCACTATAGTACAAACCCCACGTGCTAGAGAATAGGGGATGAATTTTAGGCAGCTTTTTGGGTGATGGCTCTTGAAATGAAGATATTGTTGGCTGTCTGTTAGCTTGTGGTAGATATCTGTGATTATGTGGTTGTTTTTATTTCTAATGAGTAAAAATGGTATTATATTCTTGGGTGAATTTGATTTTTGGGTGTAAGTTTTGAAGTTGAGTGTGGAATTGGTTAATATCACCCCATGAGGATTTCCAGAAAATGAAGAAATCATCTAAGTATCTTTTCCAAGATTTAGTGAAGTGGGTTTATATATTTTCCCCGTATATTTGTTCTATCTTTTCACAGAGGTTTTCCTTTCGTTAAGCTAATGTTAGGGTGGCATATGTTGGTGCCATTTTTGTTCCCATCGTAGTACCTAG